CCTTAAGTTCCTACACTGCCATCGTCTACACACATCATGATGTTGGTCCCTCTTCTTCTTCCTCAGCTCGTAGCCTTTTCCGCCATCGATTTTTCTTTCCTTTCTTCCTCAACAACATATTTCCTCTAATGACATTCCAAGCATTTCTTCTCCAAACCTCCCTCGCTACATTCCTCTCTCCTCGTCGTCGCCTCATTATCCACGTATGCCTTCTACACTACATGTGCCTTTAACGCCCTGCTTATAGCCTCTGTACTCCCCATCATATTCCCGGCTCTAATTTCGCCATATTAGCCGACATTCTCTCGCCTCCACGTTGTCTCCAACCCTCACCCTCCAGCTGCCATGCCATTCATTACGAACGTCTCACACCTCTCCTTTCCCTTCAAGCTGTCTGCCACTCTTAATATCGTCGCATTCTCAACATTATTTCACCCACCATCTTTATTTTCTCCATCTCTCATCTTCATCTTTCTTCCTACACTGTTCTTGCCACTTTAATCGCCATTCCTTAATTACCATTTTATCTCTATCACTTATACCTTCACTCGCTGCAACCTCTCTGCTGCAGGTACCTGCTCACCACCGGTCACTGTTTGCCCCCCTCTTTGTCTCTCCACAATTGCTAGCTCAGTGTCAGCATTGCTACAGTCTCTGCAGCGACTCTGTTGGGGAGTCGCCACAGTAGAAAATTTTCAACAATAGCTATATAGTGGGGTCGAATTTATCCGCTGTGTGGAGGAGAATTCAACTGGTCGGCTGCCCTGATCGGTAGCTTTGCAACCGAATGCCGCAGCAGTACTCTAACAGCCGGACCGCAGAGCGTGTCTTTACTTCCGCGAATCTTTACTTCCTCATACTTTTCATCGCCTCTTCTGTCTGTTTGTCTGACTGTCTGACGTCTGACTGTCTCTCTCTCTCCCTCTCTCCCTCCCTCTCTCTCCCTCTGTCTCTCCCTCTCTCTCCCTCTCTCTCTCCCTCTCTCTCTCCCTCTCTCTCTCCCTCTCTCTCTCCCTCTCTTTCACGCACACCCACACGGTCAGAGAAACACATTTGCACTTCCATGCACTACACTTCCACACATGTCACGAGACCAGTTAGGCGCTTGGATTTTGTCCCAGCTAGGGCGCTACGCTGTTGGGGTGATACCTGGAGAGGAAAATTCACCAGAAATCAACATGCGTATCGGTACCAGATCTCACCATTCGTCAGGTAAGGTTCTCCTCCCGCGATACAAAGAATAACTACAGTATCGATTGATTTAATTTTTTGTGTTTCTGCGCTTTTGTGATTGCGCGCAAAATGCTAAGGCAAATAGTCCTATAAATTTAATGCATGTTTTTTCGCCGAGAGTTAGCAGTGGCCTCCCTCTCTGGATGGCGAGATCCAACGCCAACGTATCGTTCGCTAGTGGGGGCTTTCCCTCAACAGATATCGGCCACCAGCGGGACACCGCTCCAGCCGGACCAAGATTTAAGCTCCTGACACGTGTGGTTGTGTAGTGCGTGTTAGTGTATATGTTTAATAGGACACGAAAGAGGAAGGAAAGATCGTGCGAGATCCATGGCCCGTTTTTTTGGGTTGTGCTCCGGCATTCACCTGTTGATGATCGTCGAAAGTACGAAAAACTACTGATCAGAGCAGCCGTCTACTAGAGATCACCTCTTGACAGTGACTGAATTCGACCTAGCTAGTGTCGAAAATCCACTAGAATTCACCTCTTGACAGTGACTGAATTCGACCTAGCTAGTGACGAAAATCCACTAGAATTCACCTCTCTACAGTGACTGAATACGACGTAGCTAGTGTCGAAAATCCACTTGAATTGACCTCTTGACAGTGTCTGAATTCGACCTAGCTAGTGTCGAAAATCCTGCCCACATCGGATCTCGACCCTATGGCCTGCCGGTCAGAGGCATTGCACATCACTTGATGCCCTGAGCCATTTCTCCCGGTCTCTCCACAGTAACGGGAGTAATTAGCAGAGCTATAGACGTGCCCTGAAACATCAATCACTTCCCACTGCCCGCCGCGTTTTGTCACCGCGTTTCCCCTTGCGTACGCTTCGGTTGCTCCGCCGGCAGCCGTCGATTATTGAGGCGGTGACCCGGGCTTCCGTCACTGTTATACGCTGCACTCACCGCGCCCCATTTGGCAACAGGGCGAGATCATGGCGGCCCATGAGCTTCACTGGCTCTGTAATCGCTCAATTCGCGACGGATTGATGCGCGCGGATTCGATCTGATTCAATCTGAGCTCATTCTTGCTTTGAAAGCGTGACGTGTGAAGTAGGATATTGCGCGGGACTTTAGTTCCTTTGTAAGTGGTGTCATTAATGTATTGCAATATCCTGAAACAGGGAATTTTCGATGAACTTAATTCATTTTCTTTAGAATAATAAATCAATGCTAAAGCCATTCAATATTGGGTGCTGATTGTACACATTACTCCAATACGTTAGAATTGCATACATGGGATTACGTTTGATTTTATGCACGTTATCACTTACAAATATCTCAAAGTATACTCAAAATGTTAATTTTTCTAATGTTAACAATACGATTAATTTAAACAGGCACTTCCGATCAATGTACAGATACTTCCGATCAGAGCAACTGACACAAGAGTTATACTCCAGACAGCGGCTGAAATGTATGAAAAAAGTAGGAAAACTGGTGATACTGGAGGTAGGACTGGTGATAGAAACACTGATGAAAAAAGTAAGTTATTGGTGGCAACACAGTGTACAAAACAGTGTACAAAAAAGCCACAATCCAAATCGTACAGAAAACAATGCCGTCGTAGACCATTCACCAAGAGAGAAAATACCAAATCTCTACCCGTTCGCCGTATCAGTAGATGCAAATGTTTGGGGCCTAGCCACTTGCGGAAGCGGCGAAACGGAATATTCTGCAATAACTTTAACGCACTAAAGCACAATCCAAATGTAATATAATCTTCCGGGCGTTTTGTATACTCGTCGCCACTGCTGGCCTAGACTCTCACACGGAGGGCTTTTTGGTGGAGCGAACTTTGCTTCGCTGAACTGTGGCTTTGAATATAGAGCGCGCGCTGACTTACGCGCTAGCTTGAAAGCCAGCTGTGAACAGAGTAGAGGCTGAATTCGACTTATTATTCAATTTTATCATTTTTATTTTGACCCCTTCCCCTGTACGTCTTTTCTCTTCTCGTGCACTAAACTTGCCTTTCACTACTATGTATAACATACTCAGTTCTATTAATGTTCGGCCCTAAGCCGCCATCCAGATTGAGTTTTTTGTGGATTTACTCAATCGCTTAAGGCGTACGCCGGGATGGTCCCTTGTCTTGCATTACCAGACGTAAATGTATAGCTTGTCCCCCCTCTCTGTCTCTCTTCTTTCTCTTCCGGATTTTTCTCTTCATTTTCATTTATATTTCCTTTCTCTTATTTTCCTTCTCTTCCATTTTTCTCGGTAAATTGATGATGTTCGGTCCTAAGCTGCCATCGTGATTGAGGTTTTCTGGATTTACTCAATCGCTTAAAGGATACCGGGATGGTTCCTAGATTTGTACTCCCAGACGTAAATGTGCAGCTTCTTCTCTCTTCTTAAAATTTTACTACTCTATATCTATGTAAATTCTTTGGTTAGGCTGAAGAGCTGGCCCTATAGTCTTTACCTCGCAATTAATAAAGACATTTATTATTATTATTATTATTATTATTATTATTATTATTATTATTATTTGTGTAGCCAGTATGGAAAATCTGCCACCGCCAAGACTCGAAGTCTAGGATCTGTCGATCAGAGTCCCTGCAGAGACAGTGGCAATTGTGGCTCTGAGGTATCTACGCTAATGCTAGATAACCTAGCTATAACTAGATAACCTTCTCCTCTATCTCCTCACGTCGAGATGACTCGCATGCAGCGCTCGATGGGTGCTGGGCCAGGGCATGCAAAGTGGGCTGTTCACTTTAGCAGATCTGCCCAAGTGCTACCGATGAGATAGGGGCAGCGGCAATGTTCCAAAATATCTCAAAATTTTTTGGGGGTGTATGCACTTCTCATGCGATTCTCGTTTAATGATATTTACTGGTATTACCAGTCACATGATGAAGTTAATTTTGAGAAGCGACTTGCCCTGTATATTATAGATGATAGTACTAGAACGGAAAATTTGTACATTTTGTCTAAAATATATTCTGTTTTCCTTCGATATTAAGAAAGTTGAACCTGTTTTTAATTTCATTCTATAAATATATTTTGGTTTGATTATTTATGGATTATTTTAATCAGCATTCAAACGTATTTATTCGTTCGCAATTTATAAATTTTTCATTATTTGCACATGGAACTAAAAATAAAATTTTCATATTTCGTATTGGCTTAAAATAGCTCCGCATAGTGCGCAGAAAATATACAGTATGAATACATGAATAATGAAACGCTGAAACATATAAAAATAATTGTTTTACTTATTGTTTCTGTAATTGGCGTGCGGGTATACAATTTCTCAGAAAATGTATACCAATTTCGAAGGATTTTTATTTAATAATCAATAAAAGCAGTTATAATAAACCTTTAAAAAACAATTTTTAACAATCGTTTCTTATATAGTCAAGTATTTTTGTCACCTTACTTAGAAATAAATATGATTAGTCATCAAAAACAATTATCAATAAAAAGTGACTACGCTTATGTGCAAAATGTGTACTGGAAATAGCTCTAGGATTTTTACATTTAGAATATTAAAAGAATGACCCTCATAGTATCGTAACTACTTTGACAAAGTCCAATTTTATTTTAAAAAAATCCTTTTGTGCTTTCCTTCTGTTCCGATGCACCACCGTTCACCGACTAATAGAAATCTGGGCGATTTTCGCGCGCGTCAGCACATCCATTCACGCTGCGCTTCGCGTCGTGTCGATATTTTGCCGCGCGAGCGGGGGAGGCGCGGCGCGGCGCGGCGCGGCGCAGCGCGGGACTTCGTGTGGGCGGTGTCGAAACGTGTCAAAATACCGCGAGCGCCAGCGGACGCGGCCAAGCGAACCGGAAACGGACGTGTCCGACGCAGTCGGCGAGCACGACGCGCGCGGGGTCGCCCGCCAGCTGTACACGCGGCAAAAATTTAAACGGCTGATGCAATATTCAACGCGTGTTCTCGCCGCTGGCCGCTCGGAGCCGTGGGAGGGTGGGTGGTTAGGCGGTTCGGTGGATGGGAGGGTGGGGGCCAAGGGCGGTCGGTGGGTTTGCGAATTAGGAGGGGTGGTATGTACGTTCAAATACACATTTTATCTCTTCGAAATATTTCTTGAACGAGAAAAACATATATTAAGTAGTGTGCCACCGATTCGTGGGTGTTAATCCTTTGGGTGGGTGTTAATGTGGGGGTTAATCCTTGTCTAAGACAACTCGTAAGTTGATAACGGAAGATACAATTGTGATCCCACGAATATAAGGGATTTAAAAAATATATCTAGCAAAAAATCAGAAATTTATTGTTGAAAGTGTCACTATTCTTAACTTGGTTAAAAGACGCGAATTCTGCTGAACAAAAACCTAAGACCAGCAAACTGGCCCCCACTGAGCTTTCAGTTACCCCACTCTTCCTCAAGATTCTATTGCCTCGCAAGCATCAACTGTAGACGGACTCACGATTTACCACGATGCTATCCATTCCAAAAACATTTATTTTTCGCTTAAGTAGGCACACGTAAAACTAAATTCGTCCTCCAAAATTCCGCCGGTGGTATGCACAAATTCATGTCGCGTTAATACTTTACAAGTTTAACACTTTCTGATACTTTTCCTGGGGAGGGCGCCGCCGTTGAGCCCTTAACAAGCAGCCGCCACGGATGCAAACAGGGAGGAAAGAAAGGAGCGAGTGGGAATAGGGGACGGATTTATGGACAGTTGTGTGAGTTGACGTAAGATATGAGAAGTGGTCGGCGTCTGGGCAGATAACCCAATGAGAGTATGAGCGGATGGAAGAATCTGAGGATTAGGTATACTCGTATTTCTGATTAAAATAGATATATTTCGCATTATTTTTTAATGCATTTCTAACTTGAAGTTAATAAATATAATCACACATATGCTGCGGAAGTGTTCATTTCCTATCAACTCTCTCTCTTCTCTCGCTTTTTTTCCTGTCATTCTTGTGAGAAATTCTTTACTCTAATTGCATGTGTATTTTCTATCTTATCTCCTTTTTAATATTTTACTATGTTACTATATTATTAAACGGGTAAAAGTAGTCAGGCAAATTTCCTGAACCTCGCCTTCAATAAAGACATTTATTTATTCTATGGTTATTAATTAATATATTTATTTGCTTATTTATTTGTGACTGTCAGGTCAGAAGATGAGTAGTTAACGTTTGGCTAAATGGGCTTGTGGGCGTATTGTGGCAAGGCGGCTGGTCAGCTACGCGGTTCATTAGCTGGCTAGATGTGCAGCTGAGTAATTGAAAGGCTCGGTGTACCAGTTGATAGGCGGTTGAGTGGTTCGGTAACTAGATGAATAGTCATTTGTGACGAGTTATGAGTTGACAGAAATTGCAACCAAGTTATCAATTTTGTGAGTTGGCGATTGGATTTGTAAGACTTCCTGTACGTCAGCGTGTGCTCGTCAATGATGGATACTGCTTTGTGTACCTCGCTTCCTTCTCGCACCAGCAAGAAGATTTAGTATCGTCAGCCCTGCGTTCCCGGCACCGGAAGCATGCATGGACTGAGAGCTAGATCCGGACGACCAGTTATGTGGGACGCACGTGAAGTGACTAGCGAATTATTCTGTCCAAAGTTGCTACGATAAAGTGGAGGGTTCAAAAAACTCTGGCTGGTGTCGCGCCGCCTTGAGCTGAAGCCTATATTTTAATTCAGAGGGGGAGGGTATTTTACATTAATCTCCTAGGACATTTTCAAAATTTTCCACAAAGGGTCGAAGTGTTTTGATTAAATTTTGTTGTATATGCAGATAACGTGTAAGACGCTTATAAGAATGGTACAGGTCCCATTTTCGTTGAAATCCCTGACTTTTTTAAAATTGCAAAAGTGCTTTTTTCGGCACCGTTCTATAATCAAAGTATTGAAGAGAAAGGTTTTTTTGTTAATGGACAGTTTTATTTTGAAAACGTCCCCTTTTTTCTTCAATCCTTTTTTCATATGTGTCAAAGAAATGTAAAAAGGCAGTGATTTTTTTCATTTCCGACAATCTCTCAGTGTTTCCTAATATTTGAAATAAATTAACATTAAAAAAATTATAAAATTGAGGATAGCAATTTTTGCTTTAAGTCTTAAGAATGTGCTCTTAAAAAGGGTAATGTACGTTTTATCTTGAATAAAAAACCTATTACGTTTGGCTTAATATGTGCTTGAAATTTAGGCAATTTATAAAAAAATAGTTTTCTCATGAAACCCTCGAAATTTTTTCTTCAATTTTCTTTCAGTTATTGAAACAACGAATGCTTACAATAATGATGCATCTCCACATTCTGTTGGGTTTAAGTAGGGTACACGGTACACCCTTAGAGAAGCGCGGCGGCGGAGAATTGGGAGGAGGGGGAAGGATGAGGAGGGGTCTCCTCTAGTCATCCCTCAAATTACGCTGATCTCTTTGACAGAAATGAATGAAACTTACCGATAGGCGATTTTTATGGTGGTTTGACTCTGGTGGTTGAGCTCTTTTTGTACGGAATACATACGCATATGAGGAGTGGCCCCTTTCTTGCTACACTTTCAAAACCATCACACAACTTCTTTCGCTTGGCCAACCTCATAGGTCACTTACACCCAGCACACTTAAATCCTGCAGCAATCAAACTACGTTCCTGCGCCCATTCAATGACCGCCAAACACCCCCTTTGGCACATCCCAAGACTTGACACATGCTTATGTTTGTATCTCAACGTCTTTTGTTTTATTCCAAATTCGAAGCCATAATTGTGCCACCAACTTCCAGTTCTTTTATGAAATTGTGGAAAACCTCCGTGGAATGGCAAATTGTGAATTTCAATGTGTTTTTTACAAAAAACCTGGGGGGTGATGGCGCGAGTTTGGCTTCAGATTCGGATTTAGTAGGCCAACGTACATAGAGAATCATGCGTCAAGTCTTTGGGACTGACAACGTTTTTATTTTTGTGTGCCTGTGATATTATTGGCAGGTCAGATATTAACTCACCTAAAGAATCATATCAAAATAGTTGAAATACTAAAAATGGATGCAAATTCTTGCATAGAAAGTTGTGTGGATGAAGTGCTGGGAGATTGCTCGAAAGCTTGCAGTCAATAAACGTCGAAATAAGGTATATCATTTGTAGAAAAAGCTGGTTTATCAAATTTGATACACAAATTCAAAAAATCTTGATACAAAAGATGTATATCAGTAGTTCAGTGAGCTTGAAGAATAAAATGACGAAAACTTGGCGAAATGACGAAATAGGATATAGTACTTGTAGAAAATGGTGGCTTATCAAAATCGGTGTAAAAATTCATAAATAGTTGATAAAAGGGTGTATTTATAATGCTGGGAGCTTGAAGAAAAAAATGTTTGAAAACCTGAGGTTAATAATCGTCGAAATAATGTATGAAACTTGTAGAAAAGCTGGTTTATCAAAATCGGTGTTAAAATTCATAAAAAATATTGTTTCAAAAGGTGTATATATGTAGTTCTGGAACCTTAATGAATAAATTTTTCAAAACGTGCAGTCAATAAACATCGAAATAAGATACAAGTAGAGAAAGCTACTTTATCAAAATCGGTGTAAAAACCAAAAACACCATGATAAATATGTGTATATATGTAGTGCTGAGAGCTTGGAGAATAAAATCTTCGAAAACTTGCAGTCAATAAACGTGGAAATAAGATATAAAACTTGTAGAAAAGCTTCTTTATCAAAATAGGTGTAAAAATCTATAATAATCTTGGTACAAAAGATGTATATATGTAGTTCTGGGAGCTTGAAGAATAAAATTGTTGGAAACGTGCAGTCAATAAACGTTGAAATATAATATAGTACTTGTAGAAAAAGATGGCTTTTCAAACTCGGTGTACAAATTCATAAAAACCTGATAAAAGTGTATATAATAATGCTGGGAGCTTGAAGAATAAAATCTTCTAAAACTTGCAGTCAATAAACATCGAAATAAAGAATAGAACTTGTATAAAAAGCTGGTTTATCAAATTTGGTGAAAAAATCCATAAAAATCTTGGTACAAAAGATGTATACATGCGTAGTTCTGGGAGCTTGGAGAATAGAGTTGTCAAAAACTTGCTGTCAATAAACGTCGAAATATGATATTACTTGCAGAAAAAGGTGTTTTTTCAAAATCGCTGCAAAAGCATAAAAAAGCTTGGTAAATACTTGAATATTCGTAGGGCTAGGAGCTTGGATAATAAAATCGTCGAAAACTTGTAGTCAATAAACGTCAAAATAGGATATTGTACTTGTTAGAAAAGATGGCTTGTGAAAATGTATGTAAAAATAGTTCAAAATCTTCGTAAAACAATGCGTATATTTATAAGATAAGTAGCTTGGAGTGAAGGTAATGCGGGTCCGGCAAATCTGCGTATACAAAAGAAGTAATTAATTACTGCTATATGCATTTAATTTTTTTTACTTTTGTTATTTTCACATTTTTAATTTTGTTGATATAATAAATGATTTTATCTCAAATATTTCATTACAACTTTTTTATTAAAAGAAAATCCTACCGTTAAATACATTTTGTGAGCACTAAGCTCATGAGACCTAAACACACGCGTTATTTACCTACCAATAAGTTGAATTGAAGACCACGAATATTTAAAAAAAATTAAAACAAAAAAATTCTTCTTTTTTCTCAAAACGTCGTATGAGATCCCTTCGATTCAAATAAACTGTGGCTGAATTTTTGTGTGTTGAAACCCAAGGGTAAAATTTTTGGAACACAATTTTAAGTGTTTCAAATGTTTTATTTGTTCTATTATTTGTACGAGTATTAGTCATTTATCGATTATACATTTGGTTATATTTTACAGAACTAGCACATGAATACTAGAGATATTATATTCATCAAGTAAGACTTTAATGAAAAGAATTTACATTTCTAAAATTATTTTTGTGGACAAAATGTCTGATTTTCTTATTTTAATGTCTAATATTTCACAGGCATTAGTGACTCAGTGGTGGGTCTCTGACTGGGAGGTTCTAGGTTTTAAGTGACGTCAGTGGCAGCATTTTTGACATTAGCTATAATTCAGCCGCTGTTGGGAGGAGAATTCTTGTAGTAAGCTCCTTTGATCGGTAAAATTTTGTGGTTTCTCCGACCAATTCTAGGCGAATGCCCCAAAAGTTCCCTAACAAAAAAAGTCAAGAACTGCACGCGATATTTCCTTCCTCTTCCTAGCCCTATCCTCATCCCTTACTTACACAACACATTTACATGCACTACATTACCACAGCTGTTGTGGGTAGAAAAAGAGATTGTCTCTCTAGGGCTGTGCCACTTGGCGGGAGGGCTGTGCCACTTGGCGGGAGGTATCTGACTGGAAAGAGTCGCCCATACCGACGTAGGTCTGCGCCGAACCTCTCTATCCAGCAGAGGGAAATCGTCGCCACCTCTCGCGATGAAAAACAGACACTATACTTATGGGATTAACTACCTCATCAGTAGACACCTCCGCAAAAAATAATTAACCAATAAATCGATTATTTCATGTGTGAGGTTATTTTCGGTAATTATCATTTGTTTGAACTTAAGCTAGATATTTTTACCCGGCGTAGATAGATGCGCCTTACTCGTGTAATGTACTCTTACTCGTATAATGCTAAATAACGTCAAAGAGTATGCTCCAATATAACAAAGAGACTATCTTCAAGTATGCATGCCATTCTTGTCAAATTTTAACATTGGTTATCATCAATATTGGAAAGTGAATGATTTTGAATTTTAGTTAAATGTGTTGGAAATTTGTCACGTTTTTTTTATCATGTATATCCAGACAGAGTGGTAATTGTCCATCCAATCCATTGTCTTCTATTGTTCTATTTCATGAGCATAGTATAATAATGTAACTTTCTTCGAACTTAATATTCGTATATCTAAATATTATTGTGATTAGGCAATGTAATTTTTTGTGATACAAAACGCAAAATATGAACATATATGTACTTATTTTTTCAGTAGAACATTCAATATTATTTAGGTGAGACACGCGATCAGTCTTATTTGAATTTTTAGAGTTGGATCGTTGGGGACCCAAAATACAACATTGTTTTAGTTGCCTCCGTGTTATTGTTAACCGGGAGGTCCTCGCGAACGAATGTGAACGGTAGAGATCCACGACGCTCGATCGAATTCCACCCGTCTGGAGGAGAAATCTAACAACCAGTTGCTCTGATCAGTACTTCTCCGTGTTTTCTCTTATCAATACCGGGTCCGATACGTACCATCGCGCCACGAATCACGAGCGGTATTTTCTTCCACTGCCGTGTCACTCCACTAATTACACGCACATGTGTACAAACACATATCTCACACTACATTCACTCCCCGACAGCACACGTTTAAACACCAGTCAGGGTTAGCGCTCACCCTGTTTGGGGCGGGACTCGCTCGAGGACACAGTTGGAGGGAAAACACATGCCTCCTCTCCTCACACATAACCAACACACACACACAACCTTACACATTCACTACACTACAACACACGTTGAAAGAACGGTCTGGAGGTTAGCGCTTCACTAGGATAAGGCGGTTCTCACTGTAGGAGGCACTTTGCGCTGACGCGATCTTGCGATCCATTGGGGGGAGAAACACCACTGCCATCCCCAACAAAAACAAGACAATGTAATTAAATTTTAGTTTATTGAAAACAAGTACCCGAAATTTATCGCTTAACATTCCAAAGGGGTATTCCCATTTAGTAAGAATTTTCTGAGTAGGGTCCTAATTTTGATATAGGGATAGTTTTCTTCGGAGTTCAGGAAACGCGATTCTACAATGATCTGTACGAAATGTTTGTCAAATTTCGATCGACGGGATCTATGAAACATGTTATTGTGATTACTTCTGATTCTCAAATATCTATTCATCCTTTTTCCGAGTACGCAATTTCCGAGAAACAGGTGGTTCAGATTGAAAGTTTACGGCAATGCCGTGATTATTGTATAATAGCAGTGTTATTTCACTTTGTTTCACAGAAATACGATTTCCGGAATATTTATTTACGAACTTGTTTCTAAAATATTCCGTTTCAACGCATGTGCATTAAAATGCAAAGAATATCTAAAAAATATTCCATAATAGGCAATACCTAAAATACTCCTCAATAATCAAGACTTCTAAAATTGTGTAAAATAAAAATGGTATAATTAATACAGAATGTTACGAAAACTAAAAAATAACAGAACTATTAATTTTAATGCAGCTATAAAAAGGTGCATTTACGCGAAAGTCTGCTCCCTACGTGTAATGATGTCATAATGAATGAAAAATGATGGTCTTTACTAAGCAGTCAATGACATTAACTTAATTTTATATCGTCGAGTCGTTGCACGACAAGGTAAAAACGTATAAAATTATTTTCGTGTTAACTTTGCGATCGAGTGTTTAGGTAATAGTGTAACTCTGCAGGATCTGTTTGATGCACTGTAATTAAGAGATATCCATTACTACAACTTTTTCGTTGGCAGCGACTTTGGCTAGAGCATCCCACTTTAATGGAAATATCAGATGAAGCAAAAGACTCTTAAATAAGGATAGGTGATTATAGGAATGTGACGAAATGGAGATGGAATAGTACGTGGAAAGTTTCCGTGTCAATGGAACGGGCACCGTAAACCTCCGATTTATCGAGTCAGGTTCTTCATTCTGAAAATAGCAATAACAAAGTCTCAAAAATAAGTTAAGATGATTATAGGAATGTGATAAAATGGAGGCGAGTTCTTACAAAATGTTTGAATACTCGCCAGTCATATGTAGTAAGCGAACTCATTATTAGGTTCAATCAGTCCAGATATGTGTCTATCCCTAGTCAGTCCAAAGCGCGAAGTCCGTTGGCTCCTTACCTGCCCTGAACTCGGATTACGTAAGCGGGAACTACTTGTTCGATGTGGTGAGAGACTGCGGCCAGCGAAGGCAGACGGCGCCGCCAACGCTTGCCCTCCCACCACGTCACCTCCCAGGCGTTTCCCAGGCGATGCCACTCGTTCCCCACAATGGCTGTGTTCCCTACAACAGTGGATTTCAACAAGAATGAAAGATCCTCCACCAAGAATTGGATGCCCCCATTCCATCCGCCCCCTGATAAATATTTTCAATGCAGTAATTTACAAATACACATTTCCATGAAAAGCTATCACATTCAGAAGAATGTTCTCAAGTGAGAATTTCAAATACAATACGATTTTGATGCAATACTTTGATTAATGACTTCGACATTACTTGTAATGGTTTGCTCGCAATTTTATTATTATTGTAACTTCTGGGAAAGAAGTTTCAAATTTATTACTGCTGAAATGCTCCACTCGACACAGCGCAGGTCGATTTAGTGAGTCTGTGTGTTGAAATTCTGAAGTATGGATCGATCATAAGTAACGATCGTTTTTATTATTAAAATTAATGGTTATTAAAAAAAAATTTTAATTACTTTTTAGTTAGAATGGAGTGCTTCGTTTGAACATAATTGCCAGTGAAATGTATGCAACATCCATGGGACGTGTATAGAACTCCTAGCGAATATCAGGCCTGCTTCTACTTGCATGATGTTTTCAACAAAAAGTTATTGAAATTATTTGCAAGTTACAGAAATGCAACTTATAGAAAATGGTTTTATTGCCATCAAATGGATTATGCTCAAAACAAACGGATCTTTTTAATATTCTCATGTTTTTCTTTTCTTCAAAATAGGTCTAGTATAGGTCAGAAATGTCAAAGACGAATTGATGACAAGTTGACATGTCATAAGGCCGTGGGTCCTGTTGAAAGCCATCTGCCTTGCTCCGGTCCGGCATTTGTTGCTGAAAAAAGGCGCGAAGTCCGTTGGCTTTTTACCTGTCCTGGGCTCAGATTACTTAAGCGGGAACTACTTGTTCGATGTGGTGAGTGACTGCAGCCTGCGACATTGGAGCCTCCGTTGGCTGCCCTCCCACCACGTCACCTCCCAGGCGTTTCCCAGGCGATGCCACTCGTTCCTCTCAATGGCTGTGTTCCCTACAACAGTGGATTTCAACAAGAATGAGAGAGCCAATACTCGGGCTAGCAGGGCCGATGCCTCCCACACCACCCGTTCCACCCAATAAAGAACTTTTACTTTCTTACGCAAGTTATGTAATCGTGCGCCACAAAACGGCGAGTTTTTGCTAGAAAAACTTTTATTACAGGAACCTGGTAACAAAAAAGTAGATAAATCCTGTTGTTATATGTAGTAAATTACCTCTTCTATTAGGTGTAGTCAAAATCAATGCTTTGTGAGTACTTGATACTGAAAAATCGATTGATGTCAAAATGTCTGTCTGTTCGTCTGTGGTCAATGCTAACCCCTAAACCGTTTAGTTGATTTTCTCCAAAACGGGTATTCCTCAGTCAAACTGACAGACCTTAAGACTTTAGGATTTTCAAAAAAATATTTTGATTTGTGGGTACTTTACATAAAGCCTCAACATTTTAATTTTTTCTCAAAAGAAGGTACCAAATGGCTTGATTAACTTTTATCCTCGGATAGCGTAAAGGATGCTTAAGAGATTGATGCAGGTCTTATGTTCGTTAAAACCCCTGATTACTTGAAAGTTGCAAAAGAGCAACTTTTAGGGGACGTATATTAAAAACTGTAGATTTAACGTCGAGATTTTTCCTTAATAAAATCTGATCTTTAAACCCAGATCTTAAACAAATATTTTGAATAATTTTTGATAAACATTTTGCTGTTAGTTCTCATTTCAAAAAAACGGTCCGTTCTTTTCGAAAATTGTAAAAAGTTAACATTTCAAAATAACAAAATTGAAGATTCAAATATTTGCTCAAACAAAGTCTGGTGTAAAAATTCCCGCTTTTTCATACATGTCATGTAATTTTTTTTGAAAAATGAGCCGTTTTTACCAGATTTGTTTGAAATTTGTAAAATTCTCCCCAAACATTCTTAAAAAGTACACCATTTTTCATTAAATTTCACATCGTATGTAAGAATGGACGGTATAAAATCTGAGTTTATTACCATTCTAAGCGACCTCTCTGTATTTTTGAAAATTGCAAATACTGCGTTAGATATATTGGGTACATTCAACTACCTTTTTTGCATCCGACCGAGTTCAAACGTTGCAGTGCTTCTGTAGCTTTGTGGTATAGTTTACAGCGAATGAACTCGGAAGACCTAAGTTCCAGACAATGCAGAAAATAATTTTTCCTGGTCGAAAAAACGTTTGCATCATTATGGTGTATAGCGGTCTACTTACTAATAATGCAAGAAAGTATGTACTGTTGTAGCACAAGCAGTTTACTTTTTTGTCTTCCGTACGTGGGAAGAGAAATTATTGTAATAATGCGTCAAAAACGGTGGATTTTCCACACAAAAACTCTTATTGCGGGGCACTGGTAACGAAAAAATGGATAACTTCTTAAATGTAGTAAATAACTTCCTCTAACAAATTAAGTAGTCTGAATACATATTTTGTGGGTCCGTGTGGCATCGAAAATTCAAATGAGAGCAAAATGTCTCTCCGTATGACCCGAATGGCACTCTCCGTATGAGAGCAAAATGTATGTCCATCTGTGAACAACGCTTCCGGCTAAACCTTAACCGTAGACACTTATCACCGAAATTGATATTCCCGAATCGATCTGACAGATGTATCGACTCTTTAACTTGAAACCGATATTTTTATTTTTCAAGGTACTTTACATTGAGCCCAAGGAACTTTTTCAAAAGGTTAAAAAAACCTTTTAGCATTAAATATTTTTGACGTATTCTAAATATAAATTTTTAAGAAAGAAAAGTATTTGGAAAATTAATTATTTTTTATTATTATGACAAATTATAATCGAAATTTTGCTTTCAGAAAAAACAAAAGGAAAAATGACTTTCGGAAAATTTACGATTATGAAACAAATTCGGAAAATTGATAGTTAATCCTAGCGAAATAAGAGCAGATATCCACATGAAGCTTCCTTTGAATTGCTTTGGAATTTTTGCTTGCAGAAATGAAATTTTATACTATTAGGTAATCGTTTTCAATAATGCGAGAAAATATGTTTTGTTGTAACACCTTTAGTTCCTTCTTTGTTTTCCCACCTAAGAAATGAAGGTCTAATTTTTGTTGAAAACTCCGCATTTTTTAAAATTAAATAAATAGTAATAATGTGTGTACATTAGTGCGTTTGTGCGTTTGTGTGTTTATAGTTAGTGAAGCATTCTAGTCTGATTTTTCATAGAAGATATAAGTTTTAGTAATTTTTTTTTGTTTATGATGTGGTACAACGTACACACGGGACAGATATGATAGCACTTAAGTTATTTCTTCCCACATTGCAATAGTTGTCACATCCCCTCTTTTGAGTTTCAATCTATTTATTTTATACCACTTACGTGCATACTATTTCTGTGTCTGCACTTCCTATACTTGTAATATTGTTCGTCATTCTCTTCTAATATGTGATTCAAATCGAGTTTAATAGTTACGTTACCTTTCTTCTTTTCTGCATTTCTCTTTCTGCATTCTACTCGCAAGAGCCTGCCTTCAAAGCACTCAGTCGTGGTAATGGCTACTTTCAAGCAAAGAATTGCACACTTCCATTGAGAAATTTTCCTTTGTACTGTTTCATACGCATTCCCTTTAAAACGAATGGCTTGCTTTGTAGCGCTTGTGGCTTTTTCCCTAACATTTGGGTCTTTTCAAATACCTTTTGACACATTCCATCTTTGCCTTGTTCACAGTCACGTTCCGTCGAGAACGTGGGGTGAATGTGATCAGCTGAAAAGCTTTCATAAAATTTAGGACCAAAATTTTAAAAAGGAAGTCCTGCTTCACCTTTTATCGAAATACTTAGCAGTTTATGTTGTATATTTTTCCTGAAGTGATTTTTGAGGTTCCTGCACAAGTTTGCTTCAACTATTCAGCCTCTCTTCAAATCAGTGGCGATCATGTTAATGAAAATTTCTCTATCATTGAATGTTTTTAACTATTACTACTAATGTCTCTGTATATGTTTTCATTTATATGCACTATTTTAAGAATCCTCATTAAAAGAAATTCTGTAATAATTGGCCTAATCTGGAAATATTAGTTACATTGTTAAGAAATTACTATTCATGGACACTTATTCTTTGGTCCTCCACACCATGCGATATAATTGTTTGGTTGGTTTGTCCATCGTAAGTAACCAAAATAGTGTCTTCAAAGTTTGTCAAATAGTATCCGATATCAAATTGCAACATTAGTCGTCGTAGATAAATAATAATCCGTCGAAGCAGTTTCCCAACTTTAGTATAATCACAGACAACAATCATAGCAATCGATGAACTGCCATCGCTCCACTATCTTTCTTTGGAATGATGGACTGACTTTCTTTGGATTTCTTTGGAATGACGCTCTGACAACCGTCAATATTTACACCCGATTCTTTGTGTCTAGAGAGAACCCACGTAGTTTCATTGGCGTCAGCGATCGTGTAACGGTGAGCGTATCGGACTGACGGGTTTTTAAGGCAAAAATATCCTTCATACGCATTCCTTCGGAGAGGAAGTAAAGCCAAATTATTCATGTTATTATATTTACTGCATGTAAAAGATCCTCAAGCAGAAATGAAGCTTTTGAGATAAATTCAAATCGCCTGCTGCCTCGCTCGAGATATACCTCCTTTCTCCGCTAGTGAGTGAAAGGAGCGAAGTGAAATTTGTAAGTGAAGAGTGGTTGTATTTAAATGTAACAAATATCACTCATTGCAATACTGATGATCATATACGTGATATTTTATAAATTAAATTTCAAGTTTGTGGCGGCGATGGTGTAACGGTTAACGTACTGGACTGTTGTACCCAAGTTGGCGGGTTCAAACCCGATCGAAGCCGTGGATTTTTAAGGACGAAAAAATCCTTCGTACGCCTTCCTTCGGAGGGAAAGTAAAGCCGGCTGTCCCATGTTCGTAGATTTACTTGCATGTAAAAGATTCTCAAGCCTAAATGACGCCTCTGAGCTAAATTCAAATCGCTTGTTTCTCGCCCAAGAAATACCTCCTTT